GTTTCCAGACCACACCAGGCTTCAAAACTCAAGGCCTTCGCACTAGTCGCAAGGTCCTCGGCTCCCCACAGCGGCCTCCAGGCCAGGACTTGCCTCCCACTATGGCCTCCAGTCCAGGACTCACCTCTGGGAATCACCTCCCTGTTCCAAACTCACCTCCGGGACTCGCCTTCCTGTGCCAGCCTCCAGTGAGGGACTCGCCTCCCACACCAGCCTCCCATATGTGACTCGCCTCACATGCCAGCCTGGTCTGGGACAGGCCTGCAATGGCCTCCGGTCTGGGGGTCCGCTCTTCTAATCGGGTAGAATAGAGGTATCATGTGCCGTGTGAGAGGGTAGATGAGCTGAGATTGAGGCATGGGCTGTGATGGACCATGACAATGAGTTGATGGGCATAGCTTGGGAGTATGAGGGCCATTAGGATGGCTACAGATGTGTAGGTTGGCAAAGCACATGGGGTGTGAGGGGCTATCGGGATGTGCACAAGGCATTAGGTGGCATGGAGAGTCAGGGGAATGAGGGGAAAGAAGAGGAAGGTTCCTTTATGCTTTAATCTTCATTTAAACTTTGAAAAGAGTGCTCGAGTCCTCATGCAGGCTTTCTGACCAGCTCTCCTGAGGAACTGGCAGCCTACTCTACCCTGTGAAGATTGTCTGACATGACTCCTATTTGGGTCAGTACTCCTGGACTGACCCAGGAATGAAAATTGAGGCCTATGCCCTCATATTTGGTTTGGGCACTTTGTATGAAAATGAAAATTTCCCGTGAATACTGTCTTGCACTTTTTACGTGCATCTCCAAACTGCTCATTCATATTCTACCTTACTCAAAAAGTGAATGAGGCAGAAAGCAGAAACTCATGTTTTAGCAGGGCAATTAGAAAAAGTCAACGTAATCAGGCAATCATGTTCAACCTACTTATCAGATTCCTTTGAGGAAGTACCATATACTATGGATAAAAAGAAACCATTTAATGTATTTAGATTTCCAAAAGGAATTTAATAAACTGCCACATCAAAGATTATTGCAGAAAATAAAAGCTCAGGTGTCAGGGGCAACATATTGCTATGGAGAGAACATATGAACAAAAGCAGTCACTTGATCCTTCAAGCCTGCATCGCCATTCAATAAGATCAGGGTTGATCTGATTTTAACCTCAACTCTACATTCCAGCCTATGCCCGATAACCTTTCATCCCCTCGTAATCAATGATCTATCTATCCTGCCTTAAAAATATTTAGAGATTGTGCATCTACCGTCTTTTGAGGAAGGATATTCCATTGACTAACTGGCCTCTGAGAGAAAAAAATTCTCATCATCTGTCTTAAATGGGTGACCAGTTATTTCTAAAGTAATGACCCCAGTTCTAGATTCTCCCACAGGAGGAAACATCCTCTCCAAATCCACCTGGTCATATCCCTTCTGGTTCTTATGTCAAAATTAATTGGCCCTGACTGTTCTAAACTCCAGAGAATACTGGCTTACTCTGTCTCATAAAGCAGTCTGCTCATTCCAGATATTAGTCTAACAAACCTTCTCTGAATTGGTTCCAACATGTTAATACCTTCTGTATGATGACCAGTACAGTACACAGTACTCCAGATGCACTTTCACCGATGCCTATGTGACTGAAGTAACCAACTAACTCTTGCAATAAGCTATAATATTCTATTAGTTTTCCTGATTACTTGATGTACCTGCATACACACCTTCTGCAATTCATGCACTAGGACACTGTTATGAGCCAGACCAAACTCTGTCAAAAAGAAGGTAGCCTAGACCCTAACCTTTTCTTATTTTAAAGGCAAGTGCAAGATGCTGCATTCTGGATGCAATTCACTTTATCCATCCACAATAGTTAAAATACAACAAAAGAAAGAAGAAATTGGAATAACTTAGCTCTAATGGAAAACTTAACAGAATAATAATTTATTAGCTATTACTAATTAACTGTTCCGATATAGTAACATCCCATAAACACACCCATGACAAAGGCAAATTCAAAAAACAGATTGTCTCACGTGTAACTCCAGCAGCATGAGGAAAAAGCATAAAGAGAAAATCCTGTGAGAGAGTATAACAGGAAGAGATGTACTGCTGCTTCCAAACCCTGATGAGACTTCAGCAACAACTGCTACTGAAAATTCCTGATTCTGTGGGAACTTGACCACGCCCATTCAGGTTGCTTCTGTTGTTTCAACTTTCAAAAGAAAAATCCAAGTAGTGGCTCTGTGTAGACTGCCTTAAAGCCTCCCTTAAAAAAAAGTCAAAATATGCCTCTTAATACAGCAAGATCTATCTGTATCTCAGAGCTCTGCAAACTGTCACCATTTAGATTATATGTGTTTTTATCCTTTCTGCTAGAATGGACAGCTTCACAATTTCCCATATTATGGTTTATTTGCCAAATTTTTGCCCATCTAAATGCTTTTGCAGGCTCCTTATGTTCTTTTCACAACTTGCTTATGAAAATTTCTTTCAGCCATCAGCAAATTTAGCAACCACCTTTGGTAATTTCATCTAAACTATTTCTGTAAATCAAACAAGATTGAGCCACTGACCCCTGTGGCCCATCACTTGTGAAATCCTGCCAGCCTGAAAAAAACCTATTTATTCCCACTCTCTGCTTCTTGTTAGCTAACCAATCTTCTATCCATGCGAATATGTTTATCTCAATACCAAGAGCTTTTATTTTCCACAATAACCTTGAATGTGCCACCTTATCATATACCTTCTGGAAATCTAGGGACAAAACATTAACTACTTCCCCTTTATCCACTCAACTTTATACTCTCAGCCATGGCTGGTTTATCCCTGTCTTAGACATTTTTCTCCTCACTGGGATATATTTTTGCTGAGAGTCATCAATTACCTCCTTAAATTTCTGCCACTGCTTGCTTACTGTCTTTCCTGCTAATCTACCTTCCCAGTCCACTTTAGCTGATTCTATTCTCGTTTCACTGCAATGCCCTTTAATAGTTTTAAACACAGTCATTTCCAACCCAGGGTTTCACACTTAAACTAAATTTTCTGAAGAAGGGTCCCAACCCAAAACGTCAACTTTCCTGCTCCTCTGATGCTGCCTGGCCTGCTGTGTTCCTCCAGCTCCAGACTGTATTGTCTCTGACTCCAGCATCTGCAGTTCTTGCTATCTCTAAATATTAACTTTTATCATGTTATGATCATTATTTTTTGGTGGATCTTTTAATTTGAAGTTGTTTATTAAATCAGCCTTATTACCCATTACAAGATCCAGTATTACAGTATTTTGTGCATGAATCACAGAAGGTAGGTCTGCAGGTACAACAAGTAATTAGGAAGGCAAATGGAATTTTGTCCTTCATTGCTAAAGGGATTGAAATAAAAAGCAGAGAGGTTATGTTTCAGCTGTACAAGGTGCTGGTGAGGCCACACCTGGAGTACTGTGTGCAGTTTTGGTCTCCTTACTTGAGAAAGGATGTACTGGCACTGGAGGGGGTGCAAAGGAGGTTCACTAGGTTGATTCCGGAGTTGAGGGGGTTGGCTTATGAGGAGAGACTTAGTAGATTGGGATTATATTCATTGGAATTCAGAAGATTGAGGGGGGATCTTATAGATACATATAAAATTATGAAGGGAATAGATAAGATAGAAGTAGAGAGGACGTTTCCACTGGCAGGTGAAGCTAGGACAAGAGGGCATAGCCTCAAGATTAGAGGGAGCAGATTTAGGACTGAACTGAGAAGGAATTTCTTCACCCAGAGGGTTGTTAATCTATGGAATTCCTTGCCCAGTGAAGTAGTTGACGCTGCTTCAGTAAACGCTTTTAAAAAAAAGGTGGATTTTTTTTGAACAATAAAGGAATTAAGGGATACGGTGAGAACGCGGGTAAGTGGATCTGAGTCCACGAAAGGATCAGCCATGATCTTATTGAATGGCGGAGCAGGCTCGAAGGGCCAGACGGCCTACTCCTGCTCCTAGTTCTTGTGTTCTTGTGTTCTTGTGTACTATTTCTGGGCAACTTTAGTGCAATAGGTCACCATGTGCTGCACTTCTCCCTGCCCCAGACATTGCTGACCACCTCATTCACACTAGCACTTTTGCACAAACAGGCTACGGAAAGAATAGGATGCTGAAGGACAAGGGGCAATGCTGTCACATTAACCATAACCCTATCTAAGCTTTATTTTTTCCTTTTGTTTTATTAATTCACAGGATGAGGGCATTGCTGGCTAGGCTAGCATTTATTGCCCATCCCTAATTGCCCAGAAAGCAGTTATGAGTCAACCACATTGCTGTGGGTCTGGAGTCACATGTAGGCCTGACCAGGTAAGGATGGCAGATTTCCTTCCCTAAAAGACATGAGTGAACCAGATGGGTTTTTCCCACAATTGGCAATAGATTCATAATCATCATTAGACTCTTAATTCCAGATATTTATTGAATTCAAATTCCACCATCTGCGGTGGCAGGATTCAAAGCCAGGTCCCTAGAACATTACCTGGGTCTCTGGATTAACAGTCCAGCAATAGTACCACTAGGCCATTGCATCCCTCAGGGGATTGGTTAGCTCAGTTGGCTGGTTTGTGATGCCAGTCAAAATGCCAATGCTTGTCGAGATCAGGTCTTTAGATGGATATCAGGTAAGTGACAAGATGTTCCAAGAATGGCAAATGGTATGATGGAAAAGAATTGGATGAGAGAGGCACCATAGATAGTTAATGCGGCAGGAGAGCTTGCAAGATCTCACAGTGAAAAACTTTAAAAAATCTCAACTCAACTCAGAACTAGCCAAAAACTAACCTAAGATTCAGCCCAAGGTTTCCGGTCAATAATCTTAGATTAGATGCTATTTAGCCGTATTAATCAATAGATTGTATCAGTTTTTACAGCAAAACTTATTACTCCATTTCACTGAACTTTTAACTGGTGGTTTATTTTTAACTACCTAAGATTAACTTGACATGAAACCCATACAGGACTTATCTTTGACACTGTGGTATAATTGCTTGCCCTAACAGAGAAATGTGCAGGATGAATTGGTCCAAGTCCAGCCCAAATTTAAGTCTAGCCTGCTGGAGTCTGTAGATGTTTTCCAGAAGGAAGTGCTCAAATATGGACGACAATATGAAAGGGTAAGCTTTTCTGTAAAAGTCAATATTTAACCATCTGAATGTTATAAAGTGGATTAATGTGGTCTTAGCATGCCACTCTTTTCTCTATCTGCTGGGTCAGCAATCAATTTGTCTTAATTTTAAAACATAATTCACACCCTACTGGGCAGATGAAAGTTTGGGAGATGGGATTAAAATGTAAAATGAAATTTGAAATGTTGAAGTGGGAATTAAATGGATGGGCGAAGAATGGCTTCTTTTTGCCTCCAATACTTCTAGTAGTTCATGTTGGAAGAGCATGTTATAATTGTATATTGTCTTTATTGCAACTAAACATCCTGATGTGCTTCATCACAGGGCATTGGAAAACAAAGTATGATACTTAGCCACATGAAGGGATATTAAGTCATAGGATTTGATCAGATGGGTTTTAAGTGTTGTCCTTAAGGGTGGAGAGGTATAGATCTGAATGCATGGAATTCCAGAGTGTCAAGCCTAACACCTGCAGGCACAGCAATCAGTGATAGAGCAATGTACCAGAAATAAAGGAGCGTTGATACACAAACCTATGTATTAGGAGTAGAAGTAGGTCATTCAGTAACTTGACCCTGCTCCTCCATTCCTCCATAGAATGCATCCTATCTGGATGCATCACAACTTGGTATGGCAACTGCTCTGCCCAAGACCGGAAGAAATTACAGAGTTATGAATGCCAACCAGTCTATCATGAAAACCAGCCTTCCTTCTACTGACTCCGTCTACACTTCCTGCTGTCTTGAGAAAGCAGCCAAAATGATCAAAGACCCCTCCCACCCCAGTTATATTCTCTTCTAACCTCTTCCATTGGGCAGAAGATACAAAAGTTTGAAAATACCACCAGATTTAAGAACCGCTTCTTCTCTGCTGTTATCAGACTTATGAATGGACCTCTCGTATGTTACAGTTGATCTTCTCTGCACTTTTTCTATAGCTGCAACACTATATTCTGCATTCTGTTCTATTACACAGATGTACTTATGTAATTTATAATTTATCTGGTTAGCACCCAAAACAATACTTTTCACTGCATCTTGGTACATGTGACAATAATAAATTTTAAAAAATGGCTGATTTGTTTGTATTTCATCTTCTTTCTTCCCATCTACTCCTGTTCAATCTGAATTCCACTGAGTATCAAAAATGTATTTATCTTCACCTTCACCTTAAAAATATTCAGTTACTCCACTTCCAGTATTTTCTGAAACAGAGAGTTCCTAAGTCACACAAGTCTCTGAGAGAAAACAATTCTCTTCATCTCTTTTCTGAAAGGACATACATCTGGCAAATTCATTGAGATGAGTACTCCAAATTAACCATATTCACAACACCTTCTGAAGAGAATAACAGAAAGCAGAAGATTACAGGGCAAACCACACATACAGGTTCAAACTGAAATACATAGAATTATAGAATCCCTTTAAAGTTTTGACAAAGATCTGTAGCTCAGCTTGTGGTTTAGGTTGTTGACTTGCTCGCTGAGCTGGTTTCTTCTCGTTCAGAATTCCTACAAGTATGGACACAGGCCACTCAGTCCATTGAGTACGCACCAAGAGCATCCCATCCAGACTCACACCTTTCCCCATAACCCCAAGCTTTGGACTGTTGGAGGAAACCAGAACACCTGGAGGAAACCAACACAAACATAGGGAGGATATGCAAACTCCACACAGACAGTCGCCCAAGGGTGGAATCAAACCTAGATCCTTGGCCCTGTGAGGCAGCTTTGCTAATCACTGAGCCACGATGCAGCCACATTGCCACCCTTTTATGGCTTATGATGTCTCCAAATTGGAAAAGTGACCACAGATGTGGATCAGAGTCCAGCTCTGTTGGGGCACCATGATTGTGAATTTCCAATTACCAAAGTCATAGCTCAACTAAACTACAAATTTCACTGTTTGAAACTAAAGGAGTATCTTTGTTTCACAAGAAAGAAAATGAAGCCAATAGCTGGATAGACTGCTAATCCTGATCTTCAGGATGAAACAATGACAACATAACCACTAGTGACAGAGACAAGAGAAGGAAAATCTCAGAGAAAGAGTTTGGCATGCATTGACCTTGCACATCCTCGAAAGAAACTCTGTACTTAATCAGGAAATTGGTGAACCATCTTTAAGCCTTTCCCCAGAGACTTTGGGGGAGAAGGGTTTAAAAGATGACTTGGAAGATGATGTCTCAACTAAGAACAATTTCCCACTGTGACATTAACCATGCTACAGAGGAATTAACCTTCCTCTGAAAGGTCTATTGTTGCCAGGCAGATCCAAGAAAAATGCTAAGAACAATGTCAAGAAGCCCTGAATATGTTGAACACTTCTTATAGCATTGTCAGCCATCTCTCTCAATAGGCCACCATTGACATGGAGATCCTACACCAAAACAGTGAAGCCAGCTCAGCATTCTATGAACTCCTCAGCCAGTGATGTTTTTTTTTAACACAGAGTTCTGCAAGTCAATAAATACTCTGGAGTACTGACCAGTTGCTGTCATCACATCCTGTACTCTGGTAAACTTAGAGTATCAGCAATCCATAAAACTGCTACATAAAGTCCACCAGCTACCTCCGTTGTACACCTATATTCAAGGGAAAGACTATCATACAAACACTAGTATATTCCTTGAAAGCAGCTCCATATGAACTCATTCAAAACTTGTGTTTTCCAATCTCTCAAATGGCCAAAGAACAAAGGGAGGACAAAGAAAATGCTGCAAGGACAATCTGAAGCTTTCCTTGAAGAGGGACAGCATTAACATTAATGATTGGAAGGAGTTTGCTACCAATTATTCCAAATATCAACATTTTTTCGATCATGCTGCAACAAAGTTTGAATCTACCTGGATTAATTAGTAGTCAGAAGCAGCAGAGAAGGAAATAGAAGAAAGCAAATCCTGTTCTCTGGATCCCATTATCTTGTAAAATGTCCCACAATGTGATGGTCTAGTTTTGGCAGTTGAGTCACATGAAGCCCTATAAGATGTGCCAGGTAACTGTAACCCTTGGATTGAGGGACAATGGCGATGGCTGATAAGTTTAAGATCAAAAGAATTACTTCCTAATAATTAGTAACTTTATTACCCAAATAAAAATATTCACTTGTAAGGTAAGTTGCTAACTTGTATATTTCCCTCTCTAAACATACGGTGTTCATTTCAGCCTTGGTTGATAATGGTAACATTTTTGTATCTTTTGATTATTAACTTGAGATTCTATTAAATAAATCCATTGTTGTTTCTCTATATGCAGTCAATTTGGTGAACTTTGTGTTATATTATCTTGTTTTAGGAAGGTCCAATGGTTGCAGGTATTCCACCTGCAGAAGCCAGCACCAGATTACAGATCTTTCAGGTAACAGCAAATTTTCAGAACAATGTATTAATTAATTAATTAAGGGAAATTATGATTGGAGAAAAAAATCTTGGCCAAATCTTCTGATTTCCACATACTCAAAGATTGGATGTATGACTGAAGTTGTGCATCAGGATGCTGAGGAAATCCTGATACATGGAAAATCTTTTTTTTTTAATTTTTGTGCTTTTTAGAATTGTTAAAAGGATTTAAAGTACATGAAGGGTCATCTAGACTCGAAATGTTAGCTTGCCCTCTCTCCATGAATGCTGCCTGACTTGCTGTGATTTCCAGCATTTATTGTCTTCAGTTAATCTCACTGAACTGACTGCCTCATTTTCCCTCCATCATAGCTTTCCCTGTCTGTGTGTGTGAGTATAAGGGGGAGTTTATAAAGGGATTAGAGTTTTAGTTGGTAGAGTTATATGGTGATGGTTTATAATTGTTTACCTGTAGCTTGATTCTATTTACTTGTACTAAATAGTAATCTGCTTAGTGTAGAAACCTGGTCCTTGCTTTCTGTCAACCTGATCTAGAAGACAGGTAAATTAGTGAATTTTGTGTATTTTTTTTAAAAAACTGACTTCTGTGATGACTCCAGGAGTAAGAAGGCTTAATTTTGAACACGCTACTCCAGTAAGTCATGATAAAAATTTCAGGTCTCTTATTTAGGATAGATAGACTTAACAGAGGCAACAAGTAGTTCAGTATTTTATCAGTAAATAGCTGGTGAAGGAAAATACCAGGTTATATACAATATTTAAGACATGGCACTGGAAATAGCAAAGGGGTTCCTACAGGTGGCAGTTTTAAGGGATATTTCAAAAACTACTTTGATTGACTTGACAGGTAAATTGGATATAGCATTGCCTGGCAGAATCAGAAGGCAGAAATAGTGGAGGCACCAAAATGGTACTTGGATTTATAGGAAATATAAGAGGGTCCCGGGACTCCAAGGAGTGAAATAGTGGAAACAGATAAAGTTCAGTTACAGTGAAAGCAACTTGAGCATTAAGACAGAGTGATGGTAATAAGAAGACTAGAATTAGAAGCCAAGAGGAAGATAAAGAGGAGAATAAAAGCCTAGAAATATGCATTTAAAACAGAAGATGGCAGATATTGATGCAGGGCCTGATAGGAAGAATCTGTGTCATAATTTGAAATCTAGTAAAGAAATGTCCAAGTTTGCACAGGCCCTATCAAAATCTGAGGAAAAGGATATGGAGGCATGCCCATGCCACTTTAGAAAATGGTTAAACAAATGAATTTGGAAAAAAAGGTGACTGGAAATTGAGCATGCAGAGTAAGTTGACAAGCAAGGCACAAGAAATTTATGCTTCACTGTCAAAGGAGGTTCTCAGGATTATGAGAAAACTATATTGTTTATTAGCTCTCCTAACTACGTTATATGGACCACACTGAATTTTTCTTTCAGGGGTCAATCTAGCAATGCCAATAATACCAATACTTCATCTTCCTTGAAATGTCCTAGTTACTGAATGTTTACCTGCCTATTCTTTCATTTTTGCCTGTGAGGCTTTCAAATGTTCCTACACTAATCTACATGCTCCTGTGTGTCTTTTGAGAAATATGGAGACATAATTCAACAGTGAGGATTCAGGTTTTTGGTTCAAGAAATTCTCCCTCAGCAATTTTAATGGAATTCGATCATATAAACATAAATCATTTCAAATGAACTGAACCAAGGTGCTTTATTTGGGGAATCTTTGTTAGTAAATAGTAAGAAATCTAATCGTTTGCTCCAATCCTGTGGGAATTCCTTAATGAGGAATAAGGGCTATGTCTTAGACATGGTCTTGAGCATCTGATGATACTTCTCCAAAGCTCCCTGTGTTTGCAAATGATACACTGTTGACTTCAATTGTTTTATGCCCAAACTTCCAATCATTTCCTGGAAAACTTTAGACATAAAGTTAGCACCTTGATCTGACTGTATCTCAACTACTAATCCATAACAAGCATAAAACTGAGATAACTTCTCTTTTACTACCTAGCTGTAATAATCTTTAAAGGAATAGATTCTGGGAATCAGGTCATCATATCCATAATTGTAAACATATACTGATGTCTTGTTTTCATTTTCAATAATGGTCCTATACAATCTACTAACAGTCGATTGAATGGTTTTTTAAAACAGGTATAGGTATCAAAAGTGTAAAGAAATGTCCTAGTTACTGACTCCCTTGTCTCCCTTGGACTTTTCAAGGAAGATAAAGTATTGGTATTATTGCCATTGCTAGGTTGACCCCTGAAAGCAAAATTCAGTGTGGTCCATATAAAGTCCTTAGGAGAGCTAATAAACAATATAGTTTTCTTTACAAGTTCACAATCCTGAGAACCTCCTTTGACAGTGAAGCATAAATTTCTTGTGCCTTGCCTGTCAACTTCCCCTTCCCCTCCCCCATTTCTGAAGAAGGGTCCAGACCCGAAACATCAGCTTTCCTGCTCCTCTGATGCTGCTTGGCCCGCTGTGTTCATCTACACCTTGTTATCTTGGTAATTCTCCACATTGATTTCTAAAGTTTTTATTTTGAGGGCTCAAGATTTTTGACAGGATGAATTTTTGATCTTCTGGAACTACATGTTTTCATTTCAAAGGGCTGCTTAATCATTCTAAAATCATTACTCATTTATTAGATGATGCAATTATGTAGTTCATTGTTTTGTTGATATACAAGAAGAATACGTTCATGTCCTCATTGATTAAAGCCACAATACACCCAGAAATCATTCATTTCCTGGACATCACTGTACATCAGTTGGCACAAAGCAACGGGAATACATTACCAACAAAAGAATTTTTTATGAAATAACTGCCTCACGCTTGTATACGAGATAGACTTTATATTAAACACTTCCTGAAGACCAGTAAATCACAGTTAATACAATTCTATCACATATACACAATGCTGAAAAAATTAAACAAAGCAACTAAATACTCTTTATACTTGATTCCAAATTTAAATATAACAGTTGAAACAGTGGTCATTACAATAGAATCCATTACATTTCTTCCTCTTATTGTAACTCATGAACATATGCAACTTTAAGCTAGAGATCCCATGTTAATTTTAAGGAATTAATTAAGTCAGTGACTTCATGTTTTCCTGACTCCTAGTTAACTAAGTATTCCTTTTTTGGCAGGTTTTAAATTGTTCTCTATCTTTTGAAATTCCTTTCTTCTTCTTTGGACTTGCAGCCTCATTTCTAAAACCCACACCCTCACCCCTGTAGTTACAGCCTCTATATCCCTCTTTTGTAATCATAGCCCCCTTCTACCAACCACCCTGTCCAGATCCCTGCTTTTCCCCTTTGCAGTTTCCTCTCCACCCTCTAATAGGTGCCCTCATCTTCAGTGTTTGCAAACACCTCCTTCTCAACAATTTGCAGCCTTCTTCTTCTCTCTCCCATTTGGAGCCAACTCCTATCCCAACAGTGGTTCCTCATGCTCTCCCTTGAAACCTCTTCTTCATCTTTTCCAGCCCCCTTGTTCTCCTCCCCTTCTCCTCCCTTTGCAGCCCTCTCTTTCATCCCGCTGTAAAGACCACATATTTTTATTTTGTATTTCAAAACATGCAAACTGAAGTGAGAAAGAGTTTACAAACCAATATTTGAAAGGGTATCTTACATTATGAAAGCTGGTAACCTAATGCTTATTGGAGGCATTGTGTCACAGTAACTGAAGTTTGAATTGCAGATAATTTGGAACCAAAGGGTTTACAGATGCACTTTGTCCTGGCAAGAAGAAGTTGATTGTTCAATGGACCAGTGACCAGTTATCAAGGATAGAGCTCTTTCTGTCTGCCAAAAACTTTATAGTTGGTTTTGAGGTACTGAATAGCTTAGAGCTGGGAAAAAAGTAACAGAGAGAGAGGGGGAGAAAAGTTTGATTCTTACCCAGCTCAGGAGCAGTCTATGTGCTCAGCAGTCAAAACTCACACTCTGACTGAAGAAAGCCAGTTTATTTTTCTTGCAACAGTTGCTGTAAACCTTAACTTTTAAATGATAAAGTTACAGAGAAGGGGAAGTTAAATTAAAGAAAATCCCTGATATTCACTTCATAAGTACAAGTAACAATTTATTCTTTTAACCCTAACAGTGAACAAATTAACAGAATTACTAACAATCTGAACAATTCCCCCTTAACTATTACCTATTCCCTAAATGAACTAAATTCTACTGGTATGCTGTTCTAATAAACACAAGTCCCACTTATATAAACCAAAGTAATAAGAAAACAAAGCTTAGTCTCTCAAAGTGTACACATCTTTCTTCTGCTGTTCTTGACATAAACGCCATTCTTCCGCTAATCCAAATGTCAAGGATGTTTTCTCTGTGAAGTCTACTATGATGACTCTCAGCTAGAAGTGTCATAGTACCTTTTATGGATAGATGGTGCTTTCTTAGAGAGTTTAGCAATTTCTTGTGAGAGCTAGATGCTTATTTCTCGGTTGGTGGTTCACTATCGCACTGATTTTCAAAAACCCTCTCCTTATATGCCTTGGATGACATACCTGTTTTCGTACAAAACATTGGTCTAAGGTTATCAATACCATCAGATTTAAATTCAATTGGGTTTCAATCGCTAAGTGCTTGGTTTAAATTAATTCGCTGATTCCAGCTAGTTGCCAAAACATCAAAACAAGCCTAAGGTTTCCAATCACATAGCCAATTGATACATGTTTTAATTTCAAAACTGGCTGTACATCTTCAACTACATACAGACACTTCTTTTTCTGTATAAATCGCTAAGCTAAGAGGAACCACACACTCTTCTCCCTTATCATTTATTTATGGACAAATTCTAGCTTCTTGCCTTCTAATTCATGATTACTCTACACAATTCCTAACAATAAGTCAGAGACTTTTAAGAAATAGCCAGACACCTATGTCTCACACCAACCAGTGAAAGCATCTGAATAAGACAACTAAAGCATTTTGCTGACCACCTGAAGAGTCGTAAAGATCATCTCAACAACAGCACCGAGAAGCAAGGACTACTAAACTGTCTTCCCAGTTTTTTTTGTTCCTCTGCCTAATAACCCATTTTGTTCTGTCTGTTTGTCTGTTTTTGTGTGTATAGGAAGTACCTTTTGAAAGAATTAGAGTTTTAATTAGTAGCGTTACATGCCAACAGTTTATAACTGTTTACCCGTAGTTGGAGTCTTTTACTTGTAGTGAATAATGATTCTTGTTCAGTAGAAAAACCTGGTCAGTGTTTTCTATAAATCTGGGTCAGAAAATTAGGTAAATTGTGGAATTTTCCATACTTTATCACAAGCCTTCTGGAATTTCATATAAACAACATTCAATGACTTACCTGTGTCCACCATCTTTGTCACCTCTTCAAAAAACTCAATGAGGTTTGTCAAGTATAATCTATCCTTCATGAATTCATGTTGACTCTCCCTGATTAATCAAAACTTTTTGAGGTAATCAGTTATCCTATCCTTGATTATAGACTCCAACAATTTCCCCACCACAGATGTTAGGCTAACTTGTCTGTAATTCCCTGGTTTCCCTCTGTCACCCTTCTTAAAGAGCAGAGTGGCATGACCATATTTCCAATCCAGAGGTACAACTCCTGAATCCAGGGAACTCTGAAAGATTATGGTTAGGGCACCAGCAATGTGCTCTCCTACCTTCTTTAATATCCATGAATGGAAATCATCAGGTCCCGGGGATTTGTCACTCTTCAGTTTCATTAATTTCCCCATTAGTGATGATTTACTTAAACTAATTTTATTTAGACCATGTCCCTCTCTTAATTTCTTTGGGACTTCTGACAAGCTATCCTCCTTTTCTGATGTGAATACTGAAGCAAAATAATCATCCAGCATGTCCGCCATTTCCCTGTGGGCTTGACAATATCCCCACTCTCAGCCTTCAGTTGGCCAATAGTGCTCTTAACCCAGCCATTTTTCCTTTGTACAACTATAAAATCTCTTCTTCTTGTCTTTTATGTCCCTTGCAGATTTCCTTTCATAATCCGTATTATCTGCTCTTATAAAGCACTCTGTGGCCCTTTGTTGATCTTTGCATTTCTCCCATTCTGTGGGATCTGTACTGTTCTTTGCATTTTTATAAGCCCTTTCTTTTAATTTTATGCTGTCCCTTGCCTCCTAATCTGTCCATGGCTGTATTTTTTATGAGGTGGGACTTTTACATGGGTATAAACTGCTTCTGGCTAAATGTTTCTTTGAACATCTTCCACAGTTCCTTGGTTGTTTTACTTATTAGCAAAGCTTCCCAGTTTACTGTGGACAGTTTCTGCCTCATTCTTTTAAAGCTTGCATGACTTAAATCCAAAATTCTAGAATCTGTTTTTTGTTTGTCACTTACGAACGCTATGTGAAACTTAATCATGTTATACTCACTATTTGACAAATGTTCACGAACGTTTAGGTCACTAGTTAAACAGACTTACAGCTCATTACTACATCCAATATTGCTTGTCCCCTTGTCGTATCCAAGATTTGTTGCTGCAGGAAACTATTTGGACACTCTCTAGAAATTTACAACCTTTCTGGCAGATGCTCATCTGTCTAACCACTGTCCTGTATAAGTTCAGCACAACCTCCTTGCTCTTGTATCAAATGCCTGAACAAAGAGGCCTTGGAGTGCAAGTTCATAGTTCTTTAAAAGTGGAGTTGCAGGAGATATGATAGTGAAGAAGGCATTTGGTAAGCTTACCTTGATTGATCACTGCATTGAATATATGAGTTGGGAGGTC